TTGAGTTTAATAAATTTTGTTTAATATATAAGGTTTCCCACTTGGTATTCCATATACCCCTTGGTAATCCAAAGAAATTTTCCGCCGAATGAGGTAGTAACGAACTAACAACAAACAATTACAATGAGAACTTATGTTACTTGGATTCGGGTACTCATGTCCGATACGGATATGTGTCCAAATGTCCGACCTAACTATTTTGTTAAAATTTTCCAAAATAATGAACTAAAATAAAGTGTCTAAGTATTCCACATATGGTTTAAAAAAAAAAAAGTGTCCCACATATATCTGCGAGTCGAGGTACAGCCCGAATAACATAGGTCACAACTAGGGGTGAGCAAGACCGGGTACCCGATCATATTTACAATACCCGGATCTGGAACCGGTTATGACCGGGTCACAAGAATTGGAACTGGTCCCGGGAAAGGGTAATACCGGATCCAAGTTTCTTGGAACTAGTCCCGGAACCGGTAGGAACCGGTTCCAAAATCGGGTACCCGGTCTTATTCAAAGTACCATCACCAAAAAGTGATTTGCATTATCCTATTTGATTTGCATTTTCCATAAGCAAGCAATAACAGTTAGGCAGATCATAAATTCAAGCAAGAACGAACTCATTTCTCATACTCAAATTACATTGAAATAGAATAATAAACCAATTCGCAGCAATTCAGCCAAAATAATTCATAAATCTGAATCAAAATCAAACAATTAACCAGAAAAAAATAAAAAAATAAATACAATATATATGAATTCACAATTCGGCGAAAACGAAGGAAAATCCAACAGAAAAAAAGTGAAAAAAGTGAGAAAAGACTTATGGAGAAGGCGTCTGGTACCAGAGAAGGCAGAGATTCAGAGGAGACCGAGAGAATCAGGAACTCAGGAAGGATGAGATTTTGAGGAGAGAACGAGAAAATCAGAGAAGAGTAGAAGTTGAGAAAATAGAGGATGAGAAAAGAGAGGAGAACGGAGAGTCAGAGAGAATCAGAGAAGGTGGAGGCTGGAAGGAAAAGTAGAAAACCCTAGAGTAAAAAGACTAAAAACTGTGAAAAATGAATAAATAGGCTTATGGGCTGTTGGGTTTTTTTAAAAAAATAAATTAAATTTTTATAACTAAATCAGTACCGGTTCCGAGTACCCGGTTTGTCTGGATCCGGGACCAGGTACCCGGAACTGGAATTGGTTTAAACCGGGTATCCAGTGGGTACCGGATCCGAAATTTTAGGATCCGGTCCCGGAATCGGTTACAACCGGATCCGATATTTTGGACCCGGTCCCGAAACTGGTAAGACCAGTTCCGGGTCCGGACCCGACGGTCCTAACCGGTTCCGGATCCGGTACCGAGTACCCTAGGTCTTTGCTCACCCCTAGTCACAACAAACAATTAGGCCCTGTTCACTTCATCTTAAAAAAATAATATTAAGTAAAAATAATTTCAGTTCAGTAAAAATCAGTTTTAATCAGTAAAAATAATTTAAGTTCAGTAAAAATAAGTTCAGTAAAAATAATTTTAGTTCAGCAAAAATAATTTCAGTTCAGTAAAAATAATTTAAGCTCAGCAATAATAATTTCAGCAAAATTAATTTAAGTTCATGTACTTTGATGCTTTTTTTTTACTAGGCTTTTTTATGTAAATTTTTTTTTCCATATATTGCAAAATATTGTCGTACAAGGTTTTTTAATACTTCACATATATTTTTTTTATGCATCACTTTTGTCTATACTTTTATCACATATTGTATAGTTATAAAATATAATATCTTTTTTTTTTGTCAAGTATAAAATATTATGTCTTATTGATAATATTGCAGTCGGTGATATTTGGTAAATACAAGTACTATATTTTATAAAAGGGTAACAAAATTCATCGTAATAGCATACTTAATCAATTACAATAAATTCAATAAGATATTGAAATATGATATTCATATATGATTATATATGCATGATCTATACAATACTACCAATATGTCGTTATATTTTTTTTTTTTGCTTAAATATCAGATGCCTTGATATGATCAATCAATCTACCAATATTTGCTATAATTATTTGTAAATTACATGCAGTTAACCAACATATACGTAGTAAAAAATTGACTGACAATTCAAACAAAAAATTTAATTAACAATATTTTTTTCATGCATGTCATAAATTGTGCTAAAGTCTTTTGGTTTGAGATCGTTAACTCCTACTTGCTGCTTTAGAAACTATTTTAACGATCAACTATATATTTTAATAGTCTCATATATATATATATATATATATATATATATATGTATATATCATAATGGTGTCAGTGTGTTTGACTTATATTTAATAAATTGTAGAATGTTTTATTTTATGTTCAACAAATGTAATTAATTATTTGCATAAAAAAAACAAATGTAATTAACTATTAAACAGAAATATAAATTTTTGTTTAAAAAGGATTGTTTAAGATATTTATTTTATTTTGAAAGTAAATTCCTAAATTGAGTACATATATATGGTTAGCACGCATATTGTGTGTAAGATTTCACAATATTGTACAATTTTATTTTTTGGAAAAATAAAGATTATAAATTATATGTCAAAGTATCTTTATAGTACTCTATAGTGCCTATAAAAATCTCTTTTTCATAGCTCTAGTTCATCCAAGTCGAGCTTGTAGCTTTCAAATCTTCATGGGTTCGAGAACCAAATTCACCAATGACACTACTAAAATTTTTTTGGAGATTCTTCTCCAACACAAATTAGATGGAAACTCAAAGTTAGATTGGGAAAAAATTGTGCGTAATTTGAATGCGCAAACTGGACAAATTTTTTCTGAGAAATCTCTGCAAAATCATTTTGCGATTTGAAAGGAAAATATATAGCTTGGTATGAATTGAAGACGGGTGCTGGTTGGACGGGTCTTGCTTTTGATGCAATTATTGGCTGCCCTCTCATCAAACAAGATGATAGGTGGGCTGCATTTGTTAAGGTATTAAACTTTGTTTTCTGTCATCTATTATTCAAATTATGTTAATGATGTATGGTAGTAATTTTAGTTACCGTAATTATTTTGTTATACAGAAACATAAAGGAAGACCCATACAATTCTTGAAGAGGCCATTAGCTAATGAAGATCTGCTACATGCTTATTTTAAGGGCACTTTTGCAACCAATAAATTGGCTATCTCCCCATCAATGGCAAAAAATGCATCACTATTTTCCGATTATGAAGATCAAGAACCCACAGGAGACAATGATGATGAGCAAGATGATCCTTTAAATTTAACCCCCGAGGATAACAATGTAGATCATGAGAATGATTCTTCTAGAATATCACCTCCTCTAGGAAAGCGTAAGAGTTTGGGAGAAACTAGTAAAATTAATAAAAAGAGGATGAGTGACATTGATAAGTGTATAGAGCTTGTGAAGTCAACTATTCAGGCTGAGTCATCAAAGGTACAAAGTAATCCAGTACAAGAAAAGTTCAATCTTCTTGCTGCAACTCTTAAAGAGATTCCTCAAATGAAAGATTACAGTGATTCTTTTTATATCCATGTTTTGGAGTACTTAACGAAAGATCACAATGGGGAATTTTTCATGGCACTTACTACTAATCATCAGAAATTGCTTTGGTTGAAGTCAAGGGGTATAGCTTTTCCTGGAGACTATTATACTCCCCAATTAGATGATGAAATAAATGACTTGGACTTGTCATAAGTAGTAAAAACTAATGTGGTGGAGATTATTATGATGAAATAAATGAGTGTTTATTTTAATAAAAACTTTGATCCTTCGTTATAATATGAATAAAATAATTTCATTTTATTTCTTTTGACGTTGTATGTTTATTATTATTATTATTATTATTATTATTATTTTTACTATTTTTACTATTATAGATTTTGTATGGTGTAAATCATGCATGCTCCGGTTTATGTACAAGCTCCTTTGATTATAAAAGGAATAGGTAACAACAGAATGAAATTACACGTTTTTGAAGATTCACGGTTTATTACAGATCGAATTCCTCATTAAAGTAGTATCAGCATTCGGCTAGTTTGTACAAAGTCATCAATTGATGAGATGATACTGACTTTGTAATTAAATTTTCATGAAACATCCCTTTGTAATGAATTGATGAGATAATGCATGCACCTAAAGGCTGTAATAACTTATAAGTGGTTATGATTATCAATGATTAGAGCTAAATTGTATGCTGGTGGGGATGCATTTCCTTGTACGTTGACATATGAAAATCCATGCAAAATTGCACACTAATGTCATTATACCTGAGATGACCTTATACAAAACAAGCCTTAAGGGTTTAATTTTACAATAAAAATAACAATCATTTAAGTATCCTATTCGCAAGGGATGGGGCAGCTGTACATGTCTGATCACTAATCAATGGAACAAAATATTAACATTCCTAAATACAACATATATTTAACTTTTCTCAAAAAAAAAATTACATATATTTAATAATATCTTATTGATAAAAATTGTAGTTCGTTATATTTTGGTAAATACTTTGTTAGTTTTACCATATACGTATTTGAGGAAAACTTTATTTGTTAAAAAAGAAATATGAGGAAAACGTTATATACGCAACTTTTTTTTTTTGACAAGTTATTATATGCAATTTTTTTTTTGGTAAATATATATGATATATACGAGATATTGAAAAAGATATGGGCAAATCAATCTCTTTCCTTTGCGTTCTTTGTCCTTCGTATATATGGTAAAACAAATAATACCCTTGTATTGCATATACTTTTAATTGCTTATATATATATATATATATATATATATATATATATATATATATATATATATATATATATATATATATATATATACACTACTTGGGTGGGACGAATTGGACAATCATAAAAATATACAATACTTTTTGTAACCATCTACATATTGAAGGTTATACGTTAATATTTTTTTTATATTTTTTTTTTATATTTTTTGTTTAAATTTGAGATCTCACTTCTTGTTGTTGCTTTTATATTGTAGAATGGACAATGAGTTGCTTCAGAAATGCATACTGTTTTTGGTACTATATGAATTGTCGAGACTCCTTACCCCAATTCATCGCTTACCTTTAAGGATCGGGGGTGAAAGTGGATCAGCATATATAACAAGGTTGTTAACAGTTCATCCTGGTTTGTTTAAAGAGCAACTAAGATTGGAAAGGGATATGTTTGTGCGACTCGTCCAATTGATGATAGAAAAAAATTTATTATCGGACGGAAGGTTTGTAAAAGTGGCCGAACAAGTAGGAATTGGTCTATTTATATTGGCAAGAGGGGCATCTCAACGCCAAGCTGCTGACACATTTAAGCACTCAATATCCACAATTAGCAAATATTTCAGAAGGGTGTTCCAAGCATTGACAAGATTGTCATGTGATTTAATTCGTCCTTATCAAGATTTGGCCGATACACCACCAGAAGTATAAGAAAACTCATTATATTGGCCTTTTTTTAAGGTTAGTATGTTATTTAATTTTCATATAAATGCATTTATAAAAGCATAATTTAATAATAAAAAAATTAATTTTTTCATGTGTTAGGATTGTGTTGGTGCTTTAGATGGAACTCATATTAGTGCAGTTGTGTCCGATGGTGATGGTCAACCGTTTCGAGGACGTAAAGGAACTAAAACTTGAAATGTACTAGCCTCATGCTCTTTTAATAGGTTATTCACATTTGTCAATGTTGGATATCAAGGAAGTGCTCATGATATAACGGTGTGGAGAAATTGCTTAACTGATCCTAAATTCGAATTTCCATACCCTCCTCTAGGTAGGTAATTCTTTAATATTATTTTCTTTTAGCAGGATAATTTATTCTAATATAAATTTTATTTTCTTATCAGGAAAATATTATTTAGTAGATTCTGGTTATCCTAACACACTCGGTTATTTGAGTCCAATTAAAGACAAGCACACAAGGTATCATATGCCGGAATTTCACAATGGTCCTCCACCTCGAGGAATGCTAGAACATTACAATTATCGTCATTCTTCATTGCGTACTACAATTGAAAGGTGTTTTGGCAACGTTAAGGGGCAATGGAAAATTTTGAAAAACATGCCACAAATGTCTCAAACATATCAATTATCAATCATCTTATCAACGTTTACTCTTCATAATTTTATCCGATTGTACACTTTAGGGATACCAATTTCAGAAAGATGTGCAAATGTTGAGCCTAGAGCGGAATACTCCATATTTGATGAAGGTAGGAAAGCTCAGATGGATATAGTACAAAATCAGATAGCAGAACATATTTGGCAATCAGTTACATCGAGGAAGAAGATCATCATATGGACATTGAATAATAAACTTAAATAGTCATATGCAATAAGAAGCAATCCTTGTAATAATTTATGATTATAATAAAGTTATGATTTTATTCTTATTATTATTAGTTTTATTGTTTTGGTATGTTTGGTTGTAAAGTTAGGCAATGAAATTAAAGGCAGTATCCCTAAACCTAATATCATATACAAGTATATCAAATACATATTCCCATAATATATAGGCCAACCATTTTTATATACGATATTATGTAAATTAAAATGGTTGGCATAATATATTATCGTTATATATACCAACTATATAAATTACAAAAATAGATTATTTTACCTAATATATTTCTATATATATATTAAATCAGTAAAAATAATATCTAAATCAGTAAAAATAAGTTCATTTCAGTAAAAATAATTTCAGTTTAGTAAAAATAACTTCAATTCAGTAAAATAAGTTCAGTTCAGTAAAAATAAGTTCAGTTCAGTAAAAATAATTTCAGTAAAAATAAGTTCAATAAAATTCAGTTTTAATCAGTAAAATTCAGTTTTAATCAGTAAAAATAATTTCAGTTCAGCAAAATTAAGGTGAAGTAAACGGAGCCTTACACCCTTAATAGTCGGTGTTAATTAAGCCTTCCCGAATTTCCCATTTACAGATAATAATCTTCATTAGCGTTCCTTCAAAGAAAAAAAAACAAAAAATTCATTAGCGTAAAAAAGCAGCGCGGCAAACGCACTATATATACGCCTCCCTTTTTTTCCACCTCACTCTCTCTCTCCTTTCAACTCTGATTTCCTTCTCTCTTTTTTAAGCTTCCTCGAACTCATCAATGGCGGATTCCACAGAAACCACCGTCAAAACTACATCCACAGATGAAGCGCCGGAAACTTCTTCCGCCACTTCAACTCCGCCGGAAACCTCTTCCGACACCACAATCCCACCGGAAATCAAGCCGGCAGAAGTTAAACGTTCTTGGGGCGACGAAGTAGACGACGAAGAATTAGCCGTCGATCAGCTTTCAATCAAAGAGAACCAAGACTTGGATGAGCCTGAAGATTCCAACATTAAAGCGGTATATTACTCCGGATTTGATCTTAATTCATCTTAGGGTTTTTTGATTTTTATTTTTTTGGGTAAATGTTGAAATTAGGGTTTATTTATAGTAAAATTGTTGTGGATTAGGTTACGACGGGAGATACACCGTATACATCAGCGAAGAAGTTTGAAGATTTGAATTTGTCTGAGGAATTACTCAAGGGTTTGTACGTTGAGATGCGATTCGAAAGGCCGAGTAAAGTTCAATCTGTTACTTTGCCTATGATTTTGACACCACCGCACAGAAATTTGATTGCTCAAGCTCATAATGGATCTGGAAAAACTACCTGCTTTGTTTTGGGAATGTTGAGTCGTGTTGATCCTAAGCAACAAGCTCCTCAAGCTCTCTGTATTTGCCCCACCAGAGAATTGGTTATTCAGGTCGGTCCGATCGCTTTAATGTTTGTTGCTTTCAGCTTGGTTTCTTTCATGTTTTTAGTTTAGTTGAAGGGTTTGCACTTTGCACATTGTTTGTATTCATTGTGAAAGAAAACATGTGCTATAATTGAATTGAAAGGAAAACAAACAAAAAAAAAAATAGAAACTGTAAATCCTCTACTTGCAGAAAATATAATCTCGAATTCTTACATTGTGCTTTCGATCAGTTTTATTTGCTGGGCAGTCTGTTGGTTTGTGCTGTTGATGTCGTTTCGGTGATTAATCTATCAACTCATATGTTGATTTTTCTGGTCAAATTCAAGTGATCAATCTAAAAGGATTTATAAAGACTGTTGAGTGACAGAATAGTAAGGGGAATTGTATGTGAATTAAAGCATTTAAATCATCTTCCGTATGTTTTTTGTTGATTGTGTTTTTGCTGAAAATGGCTTGGTTGGACGACAGAACTTAGAGGTGCTGCAGAAGATGGGGAAGTATACTGGAATTACTGCAGAGAGAGCAATCCCTGAAAATTTGGATAATCCAACACATACTCCAATTAATAAGCGAGCTCCAGTAACAACCCAAGTGATAATTGGGACTCCTGGTACAATTAAAAAGTGGATTTCATTAAGAAAATTGTCTTTATCTTATATGAAGATCCTGGTGTTTGATGAAGCTGATCACATGTTAGCTGCGGTAACTCATATACTCTATTGTTTTTAATTGTTATTTTTTATTTTTTATTGAACATGTTTCTGTTATCCTGGTGAACTATTTGTTGTGATGTTAAATCCGTTGATCTGCTTGACCTCTTTGCACATGAATTATGGCTTTATGTTGTTATTTTTTAAGGTTCTGAATAGGGAAGTGAAGCTCAGATAAGTTCTCTTAATGGCCCTTAGTTCTGTTAAGGCTTGTTCAGTGAAAAGGACAAAGCCTACCTCTGAAGCTAGGGCTACTCAATTATGTTTGTGATTTTTCAGCTGTAGAGTACACACTACCTGACATGATATAAGATGAGAGAATTTCCATTAATAGGACAAGGTAGGTTACTAGCGATGCTCCTCTAAGGAACTCTGAGTTGCAGAGAGAACATGGAGAGCCTGCAGGTTGTTAATACTTGATTTGTTATTTACTGGTTCAAGACCATGGCAGTGGACTGGATTTGGATTTGTATATTTGTCTTGACTATAAGCTTAGTGTTCTTTTATGTGGAGTGAAAATCAGTAGGGTTAATTTCTCCATGCATCTGTTCATTATTGTTCTAGATAGTTTAGACTTTACAGAGCCTGTGGATAATATTTGTATTTTCACTTTAGAAACATGAGTTAATTCACTTCTACCAGAATCCAAAAAATGAAATTTAATGGAATAAAAAGGAGCAAGAGAATTCAGTGTAGGTTTCATTCCTGCTTATAAAATAGGCAACAGGGGACTCCATTTTAATATAGGATCATCTGATTTATGCAAGGGAATAGATTTTGTCGAGGCCTCAAGATGTATGTAACCTGCATGCTTTAACCTTGTGGTGATTGATGATGTTTGCTGCCTTTTCAGGATGGCTTCAAGGATGATTCTCTTAGAATTATGTCTGATATCAAGAAAAGTGCTCCTAAATGTCAGGTTTGTTGATGATAATTTACTGTTCTTTTGCTTCTGATGTTTTCTTTATTTTTAATTTTGTGGGTGATGTAGTATTACAATTTAAAAGTATGGTCTATTCAAGATTATAAATTTGTAATTGTAAGCAGTGATCTATTCAAGATTATAAATTTATAATTGTTGTGCAAGCAGTGAAATATGCAAGGGGAGAAGTGGGAAGGATGAATTCTCTAGGCCATAGTTTGCTCTCCTTTTTCTCTATATTTAATTTTTGTCGAATTAATTATTGTTAGTTTGCTACCAATTAAACCTGATTTGAAATTTTTTTGCATGCTGTTTCTGAGTTTACTTATTATTAGAACTGCTTTAAACTAATTTTCACTTAGCAAAGCTTATTGTGTCACTGTAACTTTTTTTTTTTTTTTTGGAAACCATTTGTGTCCACACTCCACAGTAACTAACTCTATCTTTAATCTTCTTCTTATTATTATGAAATGGGTACTCACCTCTGTCTTACTTCTTTCTTTTGGATTAGCTGACTATGTCAAAGTTCATCTTAAGCCTTTTGAGTTTTTTTGTTCTGCATGGGCTGTATATTATGTATGTGTTTTGTTTGATTTAGTTGAGCATTTTCATGATAATATTGATTCTATTGATGATCTATGAACAAGTCAGGTCAATGCTTGGTCAAAGTTCATTCACTAAGTAAACGAACAAGGGTGAACAAAAATTTTAGGCTTAATTAATTAACGAGCCTAACTTGAAAAACCACGTGCTTGACTTGTTTAGGCTCGTGAACAACTTGATTGTGTTCAACTGTGCACTTGTTCGGTTTTTTTATTAACCCATTAAAGTCTCGTTCAACCAAAATTTTAAAAACTAAAAATAGAATAATTGCCATTATTTTATTTTTGTTAGGAATAATACGTTATAGTAAATATCACAAAGATACCTAATGTACATACTTTCTCCCCTTTTTTTAGATGTATCACTTTCTATAAATAGAAGTTTCAATTTAGGTGCATCACTTTCCTTTTTAGCTAATAAATTCTCTCTTATATTACATGGGCCCTCTTTATTTTTCTCTCTATATCTCTACTTCAAAAATTGCTTAGGAGTGTAATTTCAAAAGTGATGTATCTATAAAACAGGAGGAAGTATTATGCATAGAAAATCCTAGGTTTAGGCCTTTTAGGGTAGGAAAAATGAAAATAAATGACAATACTGACCTGCATCTCTCAATTCATGTAACATTTGACTTTTTTGCATTATTCATGTATGCCTTTGACCTTAATTTAGTACCTATAATATATTTAAGGACTTTTTGGTTATAGAAAATTAGATATACCTTATATGTTCAAAATACTGTTAAAAAAACACTTTTTATGTACCGTTCTAGGTAAAAACACCTTATATCTGAACACTTTTTTGTTAGGCCTTTGTTGTGACTATGAAGTGTTGAGTACTTACGACATAAGGTGTTTCATCACCAAACTTTATTACATTACATATAATGTATTTTTCTTACATTTGTTTGGAATAAGGTATTATTTGACAAATAATCATGTGTAAAACTAAATGTCATTAATTTAATTATTGTCGGGTTGATCTTGATCATATTTTATAACACCAGCTTGTTATGATTTTGTCAAAATATAAGTAAAAAGATATTAATGATAATAATAGTATATGAGTAGTGTAAAAAAATGAAATGTTTCAAAAATTTGAAAATATTGGTTAGTAAAATGATGGATCTACGAATTTGATACAGGGCGGACCGAAATCTATAAACCTTGTTCATAAGTTAACATTAACTTTTGATTTTTACGACAAAGAATATGAATAAAAGATTCATAAATGAACTTTTGATTATACAGCAGAGAATGATAATGAAAGATTAAAATATTTATAACTCCTTTATAGCTACAAAAAAGGCAAAAGAAAAAACAAAAAGAAAAAGGTTGAGCGTCAAATGGAATAGCAGTACAAAGACATTCTAAAAAATGAGCAATAAACTAAGTAGGTTATTACTTACTGATGTCAAATTTAGAACCTAGTCATTAAATGATGCATGCTGAAACCAACTTAGCCAAATTACCTTTCTTTATTTTCATTGCATCTCAACTATTTTATATTTTTTTTGGATCATGGGGCGGGCGATGGCCTGGGTTGGCCACCATGGATCCGTCCTTGGGTTAGTAATAGTATGAGATGTTAAAGTGACATTGTTGCATTAACTACTTATATTTACTTTTCCTTTCCCAAAAATTCTAAATTGTATTATTGAGTCTTGATTTGAGGTCATATCATTCATTTATTTGGACATAGAATTCTATCTTGCTCATTTATCTTATCAAAAGCTTGTTTAATTTGATCTAGCTTAGTTTGATCTGGAGCTTAGATTTAAAATGAGCTACTCGTTCGACAGTCTCAAACAGCAAAAAAGCTTTAATTAATCAAGCTCAAACAAGAAATTTAAAAGCTTTGTTAAGCTTGGTGGAGCTGGGAATATTTTATTTATCAAACGTAGCTCAAATATGCTTATGTTCAGCCCAGTTTGGCTGGTTGACACCTCTAATCCTAGGGATGATTGTTTGGCTTTCATGTTGTAATTGTATCTACATTTTTTTTTATTTTCCATATAATAATTAAAATACATGTAACTATGTGTTGACTATATTCGTCCACAATGACAATTTTTTCCTTCAGGTGTTGCTGTTTTCTGCCACTTTTAGTGAATTGGTGAAGCAGTTTGTTACAAGAGCAATTCCAGATTACAATCAATTATTTGTCAAGAAGGAAGAACTATCGCTGGAGTCAGTGAAGCAGTATAAGGTTCGTTGCCCCGGTGAACTGGAAAAAATTCAGGTTGTTCGTGAGAAAATACTGGAGTTGGGTCAAAAGGTTGGCCAGACCATCATATTTGTGCGCACAAGAAACAGTGCTAGCTATCTTCATAAGGCACTTGTGGATTTGGGTTACGAAGTTACAACTATTCAAGGTGCTCTTTCTCATGAAGATAGAGATAAAATAGTGAAAGAGTTCAAAGACGGGTTAACCAAAGTTCTTATATCCACTGATGTTCTTGCTAGAGGCTTTGACCAGTCACAGGTGAGTGGTGTTATATATATTTATCTTATATTGTGTTGTCTTTATGCACCATGTCATGTAGGTTTCTTATTTATTCCATGGTGTAGGTCAACTTGGTGGTTAACTATGATCTTCCAGTGAAGCATGATGTTAAGACAGAGCCTGACTGTGAGGTATATTTGCATAGAGTAGGACGAGCAGGACGTTTTGGGCGTAAAGGTATGTTTGTAATCTGTGTTTTCTCATGCCTCTTCATTGCTTTAAATGTGCTTGTGTCTCTATTGTTATTTTTCAGGGTTTTGTGTATGAGCTTGTTTTTTAATGTGCAGTCTTATTATGTATGGAATTAATAAGGTTCAATTTGTCGTGGCAAAATAAATCTTGTTGATTGTTGGATGTATCTTTGTTACTCTGGTCATGTATATACATCTTCCACTTGTGATGGATATGATGTGAAACTTCTAGTTGGATATTGATTTAACTATGGGGCTAATCAAAAGAATATGGCTAATTTTTTATCTATATTGCAGGCGCAGTATTCAATTTGATTTGTGATGAAAGAGACAATATGATTATGGAGAAGATTGAGAATCATTTTGGAACTAAAGTAGTTGAGGTAATTATAATATCATCTTTCTTTTATATTTTTATATTCAAGATTTTGGGTGAAATTTTGCTCCATTATTTTCACAATATTTCAAGTTAAACACAAACCATTATTATTAATTTTTTTTAAACACCATAATTATTAATTTGCATGGAAGTTTTGTGTCATCTCAAAAGGAATTTCCCAAAAAGGAATACGTGTCATTTAATTTGAAACAGAGTAAGTATCAAATGGGGTCTTATTAGATTGGTAATAATGTGATTTTCAAATATGTAGTTTCATTTTTTTTTTTTTTTTTGGAAATATTCATGTCGTATATTACAATCTTGGTTTTGCCGTTTTTGTCCCTATTTGTATCCGTATACATATCTCGGTATCTCTACTGGTGCTACACTACTACTTGGCATGGATGGACCCGACAAGTGCTCATATATTTAGGGTGATTTATATTCATTTTTTTAGTTGGGGAAATAATGGTGTTGATGGTATCCTTTTATTGCCAATCCCATTTACAATGCTATAAAACATAATATATGTGGAAATTCTCTCCTTGTTATGGATGATGTATGTATTCTACTCGAACATTAACACTTTCTTTATATAAGAGCAAGAGGTGGCTGGCTTTGCACATGCCCCTCCCTTCCCTATCTTTTCAACTTCTATCTATGGTGAATTAGTTGTATTTTGTTACGTTGAAGTATTGAGGTACTTACTTATGTGTTGTGTTACCTCGTTCAGGTGCCTGATTTTAGAAGTGAGGCTGACTTTGAAGCAGCTCTTAAGGAAGCTGGGTTAGTTTGAGGTTTCAAGAGTGCAGTTTATTATGAAGAAGTGGAACTATGGATGATACCACCAGTGAGTGTTGTGTTGATTTTATACCGATTTTTATATTTTGTACCATAACTCATTCGGTCTGGTTCTTTTTGAGGCTATCTGTAATTTATTGAGTCAAACAGTGAGATCTCTCAGTTGGTTATTGGCTACATATTTTTCCATGTCTGTGTTCTTAGCTTTAAGGAGGATATATCCAATTGAGAACAGATGAAATGCAATTAAGAATTGGCTATGAAATATCTCTAGTTAAAGGAACTCTGTCTACTATTGCTGGAACTTTAGCTTCTGGGGTCTTTGGAATCGAGATTGTATGTGTACCAGTTTGACAGTGGTTTTGATAAGTTAATTAATGTCCAAAATGATGTCTTCTGAAATCCCCAAACTAAATACTTATGTACTCCATACAAGTAAACATTATAATGAAGTGTTCAATCAGATGACAGCCAATGAGCAAAGTGATGAGCCACTGTTACCGCCAGGCTTCAATCATGTGCACCTAGGAAGACAGGAAGATGGTTATTCTACCTTCATTTTGCAGATTGATGGGTCATGAGATAAGAAGACGACAAGGGCTGGCATAGGCTGGGCAGTTACAGGGCTTCTTCCTCGGCATTACAGTGTGAAGCTTGGGCATGCCTAGAAATGCTAAAGTGGCCTCGAGCCCAGGTCAAACATGATGTTCTCATCCTTTCTGACTCTGTCATTGCTCGACAACCTACAAGCCATCCAAGGGAATGACATTTCGATTGCTTGGACACTGCTGCTGGACTCTTTCTAGTGTTTAATTAGAACTTTTGTTTCTTTGCTATTGTAAAAAAAAAAAGGTAAACATTACAAAAATCACATGTACCAGATCACCAAACTCAAATGAAATTTAATCCAAATCATTAAATAATTTGGATTGAAACGCAACCAAATTGAAAAGATGTCATTCAATACTTGAAGGGACCCAAATCGAGAACTAAGAACATGTGATGCTTGTAGGTAGGAGGCAGCCTATTTTATTACATGCGAAATTGACATTAAAACAAGTGAGACAAGGGAGGATTTAGGGATGGTGGTACGAAATTGAATTAGCATGACAATTCCCCCGTATTAACCTCTACTCGATCCTTATTGCGACATGTTTTATTTGCAATTTAGAGAAACACACAAATAATTGTTCAATTTTCTCTAAACTAGCTTATGCTAAGTTAAATAAGAAAAGTTTTCCTTCAAAGAAAGAAATCTCTCTCGGAAAAAGGGCAAACCCTATCTTTTTGATAGCTTTTCTACCGGATTCCGGTGGTACTCTCCACTGGCAAATCTCTTGCGCTAATAGGAGAGGGCATTATGAAGATGTGTTCCCAACTACAAATTGAAGAGGAGGGGGGGACAACAATAGATTTAGGTGCAGTTGACCCTAGCGTGGAGGATAATAATATGGAGTTAATGTTGATTAGTAAGGTTCTCACGAAAAGATCATACAATGTTGAGGCTTAAGAAAACAATTACGAATATATGGGCACCTGTTCTTGGATTGACAATTACGGACGTTGCCCTAACCGTACGCCTTTCCAATCTTTCAATTTTCATACAAGGTTTTATTATTTATTGACAAAACATAGATAAAAAATACTTAGCTAAAACCTTAAATATACCCGGTTCACATTAATTTAATGTTGACCACTAACATTAGGGTCACATGTTTAACTGTTGTAATTATAAAATAAAGGTCGTTATATTAATAAAAAGGTTATTATGTTAAAATGAAGGTTATTATGTTAAATACAAGTCATTGTTTTAGATTTATTTATTTATTTATTTATAATTAGAGTTTTAACTGGTTAATATGTATAATAAAGATCACAAATTAAGGTTTCTATATTCAACATAGTATATTTGCAACGGAAAAAAAAAACTTTCAACATAACATTTGGTGGCACATGTAGACCTCAGGTACACAATAATATTACTCCACACATAAACTAGGTCCATATAAGTTTTATTTAGAGCTAATCAAAGGTGGCCCAGCCTGACCCGATTTTGGGTGGGTTTTGGGAAGATTTTTCCGGCCTAACCCGATTTTTCAAAAAAAAATTCAACCAACCCCACTCTCATTATATTTAATTAATTTTTATTATTACTTATAAAATCTGCAAATAGAGAAATGGAACAAGTAATAAAATACGGAGAGAGTATAGGCAAAACTTTTAGGAAAAATTGCTAAAAATAATCCCAACTTTCACGTATTCGCTTTAAATAATCCCAACTTTGGATTATTATTAAATAATCCCAATTTTGGGGTGTATTCGCTCAAAACAATCCCTAACTGGTTACTAACCTGTCACTAGGCGAAAAATGGTAATGAGCACCGGTTCAAAACCCCCCTTTCGCACCGGTTTTGAACCGGTGTAGATTTGAGGGATACTAAAATTAAAAAAAAAAGAACTTTAGCACCGGTTCAAAATCGGTGCTAAAAACAAACAATTCGCACCGGTTCTTGTTGTGAACCGGTGCAAATAATGGCCCAAAAAAATAAAAATAAAACTTTTAGCACTGGTTCTGTTTCAAAACCGGTGTCAAAAATGCCTAAAAAAAATAATTTTTTTTTTTTTTGCATTTTTTTCACTTAAACTGAAATGGAAACACTAACATATATATAAAGTTACATAATTTCATTTAAAAAAGGCTGTAATATTACAATTTTCGTCCAAAAAAAATAAAAAATAAAATACAAGGTCACACACAAATAAAATAAAATTGAAAAAAAAAAACAAATTCACATTAGATTTAGCTTTAAGCTTTTCGTCATCCTCATCACAATCATCCCCTCCATCTCCAACAGAATCAAATCCAACACCAAGAAAATTTCCCAATGCAAAGACAACAGCAGCTCTAACATGAAGAGTAGGCAAATAGGCAATGTTTGTCTTTATACATGGAGAAGATAGTATTTTTATTTAGAATGACAAAACACATAAATTACTATGGTGTACGATAGGCTTACCTAAAATTGGGGCTTAGACAGTAGAGATGCTGATATCACAGCATCACCGGCGTGTAAACCTACTATTTGAGCCTCTTTAAAGCCCTCCCACATTTTTACAAGACAGAGACAAAGCCACTGAAGAAGTAAGGGCTCAGATTGAGCACCATTCGGAGTTGAATCTTGAAGGCACACATCAAGTAAACCAGCTTCCATACAAGCCTCTTGTCCTCGTTTATGCCCATCTACAATGATGGCTAAAACAAATACATCCATAGCACGATGCTCAGGTTGGGCTTCTAAGCTGTCAAGATATCTAATAACAGATGTACGACCTTCAACTTTCACTAGATCAACCTGACAAGACTGACATTCCAGCAAAAAAAAAACATCATATGTAGTACACATCCAATATGAACAGATAACTCAGACAGAAGTACATAACCTTCAAACGTATGTAGAGGAAAGAAAAATGAAGGTTGTGAACAATTCAAGCACAACTCAAGACTAAAATATACAACTCATCCAATCTACCAGTTCATGCAGAGAAGGCTAGTTGTATTATAATTATAACAAAAACACAACATTCCTAATGAAGTATTCAGTACAACGCGAGCAAAAAGAAATAGTCACATAACTTAAGACAGCCATATAATTGCTAACACAATTTGCGATCAAGATACATGAAGCTAATTGCATTTGCAAAATAAACAACACATTCCTGTTGTACCGTCTTCACCACATAAAAAAATTTTCCCACCCTCCAGATTGACAATTTATAAACAAATCAGTTATTGATACCTACAAGAAGATTACTTAGTGTCTTGGTTAGCAAGTTGTTCCCATGAAGTAGTATGAAACTATTAGTAAAGTGTGTGCTTGGATGTTTCTTTTTTTATTTGATTATCTTTGGCAGTTTGGCCAGCATAATATATGGATATATATTTCTGAGAAAAGATGAATAAATAAGATAAATATTAAGATGCCAGAACTTTACTAACTAATGCAAGAAATTATGTATGAGAACAATGTGCACATTTAAAGGTCTCAGATGTACCTATGCATCATTAATAATAAACCCTTAAATCAGTCCACAAATCTGCCCAAAAGTCTTCACAAATCAAACATAAAATGTATTGATTGGAATCTAATGGCAAATAGGTGATTATTATCATTTGGGTGTACTATCTCGTACATTGGACTTTCATCATAGACATATGGACAGGAGAAAAAAAAAAGGGAGGCCATTTAAGAGTCTCAGTTCCCCCATAACTATCACTGACAACCCACCTTCTTCCATGGCTACCAATTCTGCCTAAAGACTACAATCCTAGAATACAAATGGCTCATGGGAGGTCAATGGAAAATATTATTCATCACTTCACTAGAAGTTGGGCTCTCTCAAGCAAAGGTTTCATCATTGACAACAGGGACAGACATATCGATAGTCAATGGGGTAAAACAGGGACATACATTGGGGTGAAACAGGGACAAGCATTGGTTTGTTATATTGGGGTCATTTAAAAAGGGACATAGTCAAGGAGTATATTCCAAGCAACATTAATCAAGGGACATAATCAAGGAACATATTCCAAGCAACATTAAACAATGGACATAATTAAGGGACATATTCTAAAAAACATTAATTAAGGGACATTAAAAAGGGACATAATCCAAGAAACTCAAGTCATACACCAACATCAATAGCAACAACAACATATCACAATCATACATCCCCTGGCAGCAACAGATCACAGTTGCTGGCAACCATTTATCAACAAGCACCACACAATCCTCCATCTTAGTCAACAATAAATCAGAACAGCAACAATAATCCAGCATTTCATAACCAAAATAGTCTAACTTCATCACACTCCTGCATTTCATAACCAAAACAGAATAGCCTCAACAGCAAAATCAGAGAAAAAAATAATTCAAAATAACAAATACGAATCGAATTAAATCTTTTAGGTCAAAATAAATTCAGACAGATCTCCGTAAAATTGAGTTGTTCCTCTTCCTCTACTGCAGCTCTAAAGCTATTCGTTCTCAATCTTATATTTACACTAAAGGTACCAAACAAATGAAAAACTCACTAAAATTCACTAACTAAAACACTAAACTTGAACTTGGTACTGATCTAATATTATAAAACCAATGAAGAAGATCCAAAGAAGCTAAACATAACCTGGGTCACAGAAGGCATATTATTGGAAGTAGTCAGGGGCCTAATTCCAGAAGCTGCCTGCATTGGTCTTTGCTGGTGAAGAGCCGAAGGAGGAACCCCACCAGGCCGTATCTGAGAGCCTATTATCCCCATGCTCGGCATTCCATGCATTATAGGCCTTGCCTGCAAAACATTGCCACAAACAACTGAGCATATGGTGATCACAAAACATGAAATGA